GGGGGGGGAAGGGGAAGATAAACAGGAACTGGGTTGTCATAACAGTTTCTTTAACTCTCTACTCCTGGGGGAATTTTTGTGTGTGTCTATATTGTTGTAAACATACTTACTGACCGGTATTTTGAAACAAATTACCAAAATAATTGAAACTGGTGTGATTCTGTAGTCTTACTTTGACAAATAACATTTGCAGAATTTTAAAATATTATGCACATAATTTTTATTTTTTTTGGCACAGAATGCCCCCAGGAGTAACCTGAGTTCTGGCCAAGACTAGAAGCTGAAGTACCAAAATACTACAAGAAAGCCTGTCCTTATGGCATTCTGACCCAGTCTGAAATAGCAACTTACAAGAGAGCCTGGTCTCATGAGAGCTATACCCAAATTTACAGATCCCAGAGTTCTGGTTACTAATCTGAACTGAGGGCCAGACAAACCAGTACGCTCCTTTCCTTTGTGTTGCACTTTCAACACAAAGCAGTCCCAAACCAGAATTTACTGGCCAGTTAAATGAAGCATATGGCCTCTTTGCATCACTGGAGCAGTGCAAAGCAATCAGTGAGTACCACTGAGTCTAGACCTGAATCTCCAGGCCTTTGCAGGCTTGCCTGTCGCTGCTGAAAAACATGGGTGAAGAGGCAGTCTTTTCCCTCTTTGTAAACTCAGAACTATCGCTGAACATTTCCTTTCCTATGGAACATGTCAAGGTCCCAGCACCAAACAGTTATTCCTCCCCTCCCAGTACCTTGTTCTTGTCACATTTCTTTTAAAGTCCTTGTCTCCCTCAGCTATTTCTTCATATTCCCCCGTCCCCCTTCCTCCCTCTTTCCCGTTTGGTAAGCTGTAATGAAGCTGATACTCACTGGAGAGAAGTTGTCGATGCAGCTGAACTTATCATCCCACTCTCTGCCAGCTCAATGGCCTGTTTGATTTCCAGTTTCTTGTACAGAGATACAATGCTGGATTTGGGCTGGTTCTCCCGGATCAGGATTTTCTTTAGATATTTAGTGTCAAACTTTTTAAATCTATGAAACAGAAATTAAAAGCAAATGTAAAAAGGAAAGGAGTCCATCTTCCTCGCTGACAACATCCATCAAATATATATATAATTGCAGGTCGGAAACTGAAGCCAAATTGTCGGCGCCCGTGGCCTGCTGAATGACCAGTGAACCTGTTGGAGGACAAAGGGCATGGCCTACTGGTCCACAGAGATGGTAAATCTGCTATACAAAAGAAAGAAACAAACTGCAATCATCTCAAAAAGAAGGTTGGGTGAGTGTTAGCATATAGCATCGCCACAATTGTACGAAAAGAAAAAAGGGGCCAGTCTTTCATGCTTTTGTACAAATGTGGTATTCTAATAAGGTATAACAGCAGCAGCTGCACTTACAGCAACGCTGGCCTATTCAGCCAGACACTAATAATGTTCTAAATGACCCAGTAGTTAGGTCCTATTATGCTGCTGATCATTTTAAATCCTGACAATTAGAGGAAAATATATATGTCCTAATATTCTGAATGCCAGAGAAATTGAATGGACTGCAAAATGATGTCTGTATGCACGCTGCATATTATAATATACCACTAATGTGCTGCATACACAAGTTCGAATGTGCGTGTGTGTGTTGAGGCGTGTATTGGCTTTCAGGCATTAGCTTAACAAAACAGCAGCAGCTCTTCTTATAATTTTTTTTCTATGGGGCAGTTTGCTATTGCAGAGAAATGTACTTTAGAGTGTTATGAAAAGCAATACAGAGTTTATACAATTTCTTATAATAAGCAACTGTTTTTAATATTTGTTGCTATAACAGAAGTACACAGCTCTGCTTTGTTCTGTGAACAAGGATGCTCTGCAGAGCTCTCTAGTCCACAGGAAGTTACCCTGAGTGTCGGTTAACCAAGGTAATCAATTCTTAAAAGCATATTATTTAATCTTAATGCAAGGAATACCTTCATTTTTATATGACTCTCATATAAATACTTTCATATGATGTGTTTCTTTAGCCTTTACCTTGACTGAAACAGTAACTTACTAGTAGTATTCATAGACTCCTCCTATCAGGTCTATTGGGTGGATCTGAGAGAAGTGACAGAAATGCCGCTTATCTCAGTTGCAATGCCTTCAACTGTGTGTGTGGCTTCAAATTGGGAATTCTATAGCCTATGCACCATTGTTATCCTCAATATATTCTCTGGAAGGCCATTTTTAGCCCATTATATATGAATTCAATAGTTAATAAATTTATTGAAATGAAGGCCATCTCTCAGGCAGAAAAGATATTCCACCCCATAAAGGCTTGTGTTACTGCTATACAGCAACCATCTGAGCTTGCAGATGTATTGGGCAGACTGATGATCATATGTATATCTCCACATTCAGATCTGATAATGTAAAGGTTACAAATCAAATGGCAATTTAGAACATCAAGTCAACATCACAACTTGTCTCATCTACCCATTGAAGGTATAAAGCTGCTCCCATATAATTCCTTTATTAAGTTAATACAAACATCACTTTTGTGCTCTCGCCTAGATACAGAAGGCAGTATAATTCTGAGACCAGGAAAAAATTACTATTTATTACTTTATTATGCGCTATCTACATTGTCCCATATGTTTGCACGGTGATTTACATTCAAATAAAATGACAGATCCATACCTCAAGCAGCTTGCAATTTAAAGGGCCACTTTGAAGATTGATAGGCTTACATTTAGGCCTTGTTTGCAGGCTTTCACGTGCATGTGGCATGAGTGTGCATGTCATGTTCCTCCTCTATCACACTTATCTCCTCCTAGCTTTTGAGGAGGCACAGTAGTGAAACATATATGAATGTTGCACTCCAAAAGATGATGATTACTCAGGAGCTCGGGTTATATTTTAGAACAGGATATGGCGCATGTCCCTAACATTTACATTCTAATCTAACCTTCTGAGAGCACAAAATGGATTTCCTACTGTATTTACCTTTGAGTAGATAAATATGTCACAGCTAAATTACTTTATTGTACCAGACAGTAACAAAACATTCTTACTTGTCTCTCAGTTGATAGTGACTCCAGTGCCCACATATATCTTCAATTCCAGCCTTCAAGTGATCCATCATCTAGAGAAAAAAATACAACAAACCAATGGTCATAACATGAAATCAATGTCAAAACAATTCTTAGGTAATCAAAGACCAGATTCTAAGGAATTTAGACACTGATTCAAATTAAACAACTCTTAGAAAATCTAAAATTTTATAAAAATCTAGACAAACTTCTCCATATGCCAGTGTCTCTGATCTTTTTATTTTTTCCTTAAGATTGTATAAGTAAATCTGCTACTAATTACCAGAATTTGCAGGCACCTTGATGTGTTTTCAACCTCAGCAGAAATAGCTTTAAAATTTCCAGTGTCTTTATAAAAAGTTCCATTCTGTAGTTTTGAAATTATAATGAGGTGGCATCCATATCCAGAGGATGTCATATATTACTTTACAACAGCTTCTTTGGACTCAAACACCATCCAATATTTTTATTAAGATATTTTGGGTGGGATTTGCAAAGGTGCCTAAGGGGCTTATTTGCCCAATGAATTTCAATGGGAACTGGGTGCCTAACTCTCTTGGGCAAATTTGGAACTCCCATTTGTTCTCTTTCTAGGATACAGTTCATCAATAAAGACAACTTACTCGTACATGAATCTCTTCATTAATGCACTCTTTCTTGTTAGTCTTTTTAACATCTAGATACTTGACCAGTGGACCAATTGTGATTCCCTGTATTTAGAAAAATGAGTGAGAAAGTTAATTATTGTTTGAAACAAGCAGATAAAAGGCAAAAGATGAAGTGACTATCTTTTATTTGATCACTGTGTCTAGAATACAGGGCTTATTTGTTATTAGTCGGGCTGGATAGAAAATGGAGTGGGAGGTGGGGGGGAGGTTCTGAAAAAAAATGTTTCAATTTTTTTAAAATCAAAATTAGATTTTCATCAGCATTTTCTAATCAATAGTAAGAATTAGTTTCTGTAAACTACCTGGCCTGCTAACCACTCATACCAAGCTAATATTTCATTCCAGAGGGAAAAAATAGTTTCAACAATATCAAAGCATCCTCTTTGACATTTTTTGAAAGAAATGATTTGATTTTTAAAACTTTTGATTTCATTTTAAAAACTATGTAATATAATAGTTTAAAAGACTATATAAAAATAAAATGATTCACCCCAAACACATTTTTTTCAGGATTTTCATTTGCAGGGAATTTCTAAATTGTGGGGTTTCATTCCTAATCAGAACAAAGACAAATGTTGAAATCACAAAATCCTTCACAAAATGGAATTTCCATCCTGCGCAGCCCTAGTTATGACACAAAAGGGGAACAACTACTCTTGTATATCAGAGTACAAGGTGAAGTAAAAAATTGGAACATAATTTTCAGAGGAATTTTAAGGAAATCTGTTTTTAAATACAGTGGTGAAGTTACTAAATATTTAACTGAAACGATAAGAAAAAATTAATTATCCAGCAAAGGGTTATTGTGTTACATCTGGAGACACTATCCAGCAACTAAAGTATAAAATAGAAGGATTTAATCCTGATTTACGTGCAAATCTCAGTGCAAGCTTAACTATGAAGCCTCTAGGCATTGCTGTTGTATGAAATCAACCCATTATTAAACCTACTTACCTGAATGAACACAGTGAAATATATAACTACAAGAGTAGCCGTAATGAACATGTTCTTTCTAGGGAAGAGATACATCGGAAGCAAAAATGCAAGAGAGAAACTACTGGCTCCTCGAAGGCCACTGTAGGCAATAATGAGCTGGTCTTTAATGGTGAAGGGATAAGTCCGAAACTTGTTGCTGATATAAAAGAGAGCAAACACACCTAGGAGGGAGGAAAAACTATTGTTAACCAAGTAACAAAGAGAAATACTTTAAGTGCAACAGCATCTTTAGCCTTTAAGCCACGAACACTGTTTTCTTTGCAATTGTGGGTGCTTGTAACTTCTTTTCTGGTCCTTTGTTGAGGCTATTTTTTAAATATATTATAAATGTGATGCCTATGAGAAATTTTAACACAGTATTTTAATGTAGGTTTCTAAATGTTTTGTATTTTAACTTTGCTGAGTAGGATCAGAAGATGAGATGAGTGATATTGTCCACCACCATTTGTATTTTAGACAAGCCTTCCACTAAGGTGATCTGAAGATATCCTAGATAAGAGCTCTTCCTGCTTTCCCCCCTATACTATTATTTCGAGCATTTCTTCTTCCCTTTCACTCCAATGCATTTTGGTCCCATTCTAAGTTACTCAAGACATTTTCCCACACAGTAGAAGACCAGTGTGTTTGAACAGTGCTTGAACAGTTTTGACAGTTGCATATAATAAAATAATAATAATAATAATACCTATGTCTTTATCTAGTGCTTTTTTTTTTTACAGAAGGGGAAACTGAGTAACAGAGGGGTGGAAAGTCATACCGAAGATCACCCAGCAAACCAAGGGCAGAGCTAGGAATAGAGTCCAGGACTCCTGAGTTGCAGTCCAGTGCTCTTCACTGACTCCCTTTAAAGGCATTCGGTAACAAAACAGCTATAGTGGAAGTTGCTTAATTCTCCTGATTTGTTTTGCTTTTAATTAAAAGTAAAACTAATGTGACAGCCTATATGACAGAGATGACCCTTGCGGTCCCTTCTAACCCTATAGTTCTATGCTTCTATGTGGCTGGGTGTGGACTGCAGCTTCTGCCTACAGTATATTTAGTGGCTTGCTTGTTTTTTTCCATTATCCTCTTGGGCCCTTTTCCAACAGCTTTATTTTCTTAATGAAATGCCCTTGTATCTACATTTCATATGAGCACCATGACTGATGTAAATAATGAACCGTTATAAGTACAAAAAATCCATTTTATACATCAACCCTATAACAAGCTTATTGGATTATTATTGGTTGGCCTCGTAACACTACAAAGGTTGCGTGGCACTTCCCATTATGAGATCCTGTTTTCAGTTGCTTATAGCTTTGTCAAACTGAAGTTTTCCATGCTGGGCATCTGACTCAGGCTGACAGGTGACCTTTATTTGAAAAGCTCTAAAACCCCCATGCTTTGGAACAGGGACTTGAAATTTAGTAGGGAGGTGGCCTTTGTGTCAGGGATGTGCCTTTTGCTGTACCCATTAAAAATTGCTCATGTGTGGCCAAGTTATAAGACTGTAAAATCTCAGTTTGCACATGCTCGGTATAGACTTCTTCATCTTCCCCCTTAAACTTTCCTAGGATTCCATCCTCACCGAGCATGCTCCAGCCTCTCACAGCTCCTAGCATTGAGCAGACTGCATGGACCATCACAGAGTAATTGAACCTAATCCATCCTCTCACTATTCCAATGTGTGACCAGGCTGTGCCTGCACCATCCCCACAGAGATAACGAGTATGCTGCAGGACCAGGGCTACAGGAACAAAGCTGGAATTTCCCTAAAGTGGCTAATCCCAGCTGCTCCCAGGGTGAGGCCAGGCAGTGTAACTGAGAGCACAGAGCCTGGTCTCTGCGACCCCACCCCCACCCCCGCCGGCACCCATGCAGTGCAGAGAAGAAAGCCACCTGATTTGAATGCAGAAGGGACAAAAGCTGAATCAAGGAGGAGGGAGAGGAGCAGATGGAGACAAGGAGACTAAAGAGGGGGAGAAAAACTGGGAATATCTGGGCAAGGAGACTATGACTGGGAGCCAGGAAACAGAGGGAGAAAGTCTTCTTGCCCAACCAATCCCAGCCTATGATTAGGAGCCTGGGACAGGGATTCAGTGAAGGCAGCTGGGGCAAAGAGGCTGGGGCTCAGTTGGCTGTGAGGGAGGAACGCTGAGACTGCATGAGGAGCTGCAGACAGGGGAGGAGACTGGCATCAGATGTAGGGAAGGAGAGAAACTGGGAGTGGACGGGGAGCTTTGGGCTTAGTCAGCAAGTTGAGAGGTGGAGACTAGAACTCAATGGGAAACATGACATACGATGAGAAGCCTGAGGAGAGGAGAATGGAGTGGGAGAAGGAGGAGCCGGGGGTGGCAAAGAGACAAAATTGGGATGGGGACAGGTTAGTGGGGATGGAGCAGAAGGGGTCACACTTAAGCGCAGAGGCCAGAAGAGTCTTTACCCACTAGAGCACACACCCCTCCAGAGTCTGGAAGATCCCCAAGATTCACCATTTCTCTACTGTCAGCAAATATCTGTGAAACCCATTGGCAAAATCTTATACCCCTCTACTGCTGGGCCACATAGAGGACGTCAATCTACTATTGCTACCAGTTATTCCATTAGCTCAAGTGGCAGAGGTCTGTGAGGTGGATCAAAAGGTTCCAACCTGTCTGATGACCACGTAGGTCCCAATATGATGGAATTTCTGTTTTTTCAGTTTGCTTTATTTAAAAAACATAGATAACGGCACACTAAAATCATGCATTAAGGTTGCAAAGTCGAGTACTCAGAAATTAAGAAATGCCAGACTTAAGGTTGCCTCTGCAACCTTAATTTGCCCCCTTGTGCATATGCATTATGGTACAATCTTTAATTACATGACACATACTATGTTTTCCATAGGAGCCCTGTTTCATTCAGTGATATATAAATAAATTCAAATAAGGAATAATCGTGTCTGATTGCAATGTACTTACTGCCTAGTTGTTTTGGGAATTGTATTCAATTAATAGTAACACTTAAATTTACTTGATAAAAACACTGTGCCCAATGCTAGGATCTGGCTGGTTCAGGACCAGAGGGCATGGGGCAAAGTTAGCTGCACACTACCTCTCCACTTCCCCAATCCTGGGGTACCAGGAGCCAATTCAATTACCATAGTATGTCAGAGCAGCCTCAGGGCTGGATTAATAGCCAGGCATCATGAGTGTTCTGCCACAGCTTTTCCATTTTACCATATGACCAGCTCACCCTAACCCCTGGAGAGCTTGGGAAGGGCTGGGGTAAAGCTGGTTCTGTCAGTTTTACCTCACCTGGAGATTTCCTTCACCCATGCCATCCAAGCCAAGGGAAAGGCTTTACAGGAGCGGTGCCAAAGGGCCGGGATCTGGATTCACAGTGTATAGAACTTTATCTACTTTAAGAATAAATTTAAATAGCTAATATTCTCTCTCTGATTAAAATTGCAGAGAAATGTTCAAATTGCCAAAAATAGATAAAGAACCATCTTAAATTAACCACATTCTAAAATGTAACCATTATGAAGCCCACTTACCTGAATAAACACAGTAATAACATATGGCCAGCCTAAATATCAACATAATGATGGAAATGGTTTAATTTTACTTAAAAGTTTCCTTCGCACTGAATCACAAAATCCAGCTTCAGGTATTGACCTTTGGGTTGTTGTTCCTCCCCCGCGCCCGCCAGTTCAGTACTAATATTTGTGAAATTACCTGGTCAGTAAGACACACCTATTAACTCATTATTAAACAGGTTATACAAATCAGCACTACATTTCCTAGCCTACTTTTGCACTGATTACTTTCAAAGACGCAAAGCACCACATCTACCCAGGCTGGCTGTGTTAAAATGCAGTATTTGCCTCTTACTTAGCACACGCCAAATCAAGCAGAAGAGCAGAGTGAAGGAAACAAAAGCCCAGTTCCACTCGTGGTTCCTTCCAACTGTGGACACTCCCATGAACACGAAAATCAGGGTCTCGCTGACACTGCTCAGCATCTTCATGAAGTACTTTATGGTTGTGTAGGAATTCTGGGAAACATTCTCCTCCACATATTTTTTCATAGTCACTGCACATGCCGTCATCCTGTTCATTCAGAAACACCATGCAAAGCATTAGGTATTGGCAATGGTCATCTGTGTTTATTATCTTAAAAGAGAAAGGCTCCTCTAATCACTCCTGCTTGAAGACTAGTTGAATCCAGACTGTCTGCTCCTCTCCTTATTTGAGCCCACACATGGGCCAGATTCTGAGACTTTCCTCATGCAATACCTTCCTCCTTAAATTGAGCCATTGATTTCAATGGGACTACTTGAGGAGTAAGGGACTGTGTAATGGTATGGATATTGCATCTGGCCCTATGTGTGTATCCCATATAGAGGAGAAGAAAAGGAGCCAGAGTTTGTCAACCTTACTCAAAGTGAGTCTGGTTCAAAGTCATTTTTGTTTTGAATGCACAACAAATACGAATAAAGGGGCAAACTCGTGGCTTTGCCACGAGCACCAAGCAAGGAACAATGCATTGTCGTGCTGCCCTGGGAGCAGACGAGTCAGTGCCACACTCTGCCTCCCAGTAATCCCTCACTCTGGTGTGGCAAAGGAGGAACCCTGCATCAGCCCTACACCTGGCACAGAGTGTCCCCCCCACACACCAGCTAGCCAGCATATTAGGGAGTGGAGACCTAGCTCCAATGATTCTCCACCCCTCCGTGCCCACTGCTGTCCATAAGCATCGCAGGAGGAAATGCAGCAACAGCCCTGCAGAGGCTGCTCTTTCCCTTCATAGCGATCCAGCTTGCATGGGGCAGTGAAGGGACACCTTACAGCTCCTTACTTCTCCGCTTGGCTGCATGAACCAGGCCACCATCTGGCCCAAACATATCAGTAAACAGTGTGAGCCAGGCGCTGATACTATTACTCATACTAAATAGCACCTTACTCTCAGACTGAAGATAATGAGACTTCTTATGGAGTAAGGTACAGTAGAACCTCAGGGTTACGAACACCAGAGTTATGAACTGACCAGTCAACCACACATGTCACTTGGAACTGGAAGTACATAATCACGCAGAAAAAGAGACAAAAAAAAGAACTCCCTCTTCCCCCCAAAAAAGCAAATACTGTACAGTACGGTGTTAGAGGAAAACTACTAAAAAAATTAAGGGAAAGCAGCATTTTTCTTCTGCATCATAAAGTTTCAAAGCTGTATTACGTCAATGTTCAGTTGTAAACTTTTGAAAGAACCACCATAATGTTTTGTTCAGAGTTACAAACATTTCAGTTACGAACAACCTCCATTCCTGAGGTGTTCATAACTCTGAGGTTCTCCTGCACTTCCTAGCATGAGTAGGAATATGGTAGATTTTGTGTTCTCTGTTAAATCAGCAGTCAGGCATTCTCCCAAGGCTTCCTCATTTCTGTCGTGTTCCCAAAGCTTAAAGGAAACTGTACGTAAATAGGCAGGTTGAATGCTAAAGATAGATAGCCTAGTATGTCACCTAGCTGGTTTCCATCTATAACATTTTAGTCCTATCAGCCTTCTGCATGGCAATAGTTTTCTAATCTTGTGTGCTCAGAATATTCTGAGCGCTCCTCAGGTCTCCCATTCATTCCACCTAGACAAAGCTACAGGGTGCTCTGGAGGAACAGAAACATTCAGCAGGTCCCAGGACATTCAAAGACAAAATCAATAGACATTAATGTTTGATACTGTTGACTTTTCAAGATCTATGCATCATAAATTTTCATAACCCAAGTGGAAAATGAATGAATTCATCAATAATTCAATGGTGCAACAGTAAGTTTCCATCACTAAAATAAGCAATAATATATATAATAGGCTAGTAAGAAGAGTAAACCCGGATTATATTAATATTATTTTATTACTAATAATTTCAATAAACTAATGACAATAAGAAGCATGTGAAATAAAGTTCTATATATTTTAAAATAATGAATATTCACAGGGGTGGTTTGTAAGGTTCAGGAAGACTGATCAAATCTATAACTGATTAATAAATTAGTATTCAGCTCTGATAGGACCTGATCTTGAAGTCAATGAGAGCTTTGCCAATTACCTAATTACCATATATTAGTGGGCAAAACATGGACCAGGATCTGGGTCATTTTGCAATGGGTGTAAATAGCTACACAAGATATAAAACAGTGGAGAACAGGATTAGAATCATATATACACTAATAATTAGATTGGATTAAGAAGCATCTAAATATTACATTATAAATGCACTTAGAGTATGAGGATAGGTGCTTTATATATGTATCTAATTAAACAATTGGGTTAAAATTTCAAACACAGGTACCTCAGATGATCCTGCAAGGTATGTGTGCATACAACAGCATCTTTGCACAGAGACTGTAAACTGGGGTTTGTGAACAAATCAGGGTCTGAGACGTGCAGTGAGAGCTAATGTAAAATTTTTGCACTCATAATGACAGTACACTTCTTTATGCATGTGCAATGTATTGTAGGTGCCCACGTTCAAACATTTGTCCCCATTAAGTGAGAATCCCCCCTGGAGGTAGCCTTCACTCATTCTGGGGCATCAGGGTCAGTGAAGTCCCATCCCCAGCTCATTCATGTGAGCTCAGGGCAAGAAAAAAAAAAACCTGGTGTTGCCAGCCCAGGAGTCAGAGATTGGACTCATCACCAGCCAGCAGAATTATCTATAGAACTGAGGATGAGGATGTCACCAGACTTCCACTTCTTCAGTTTTTACTTTGGTATTCTTTCCTCTCCATTGATTGTCTGTTTGCTCCAACTCCCTCCCACATCCTCACCTCACATTCCCTTTGCTGCCCCTCACTGTCTCTGCCCTCCATGTGCCTCTCCATTCCTCCCTCCATCCTTTCACTCTTCTTTCCTATCCCTGTCCTCCTTGTCATCCTCCCATCAATGTCCTCGCTCTCTCTCTTCCTTTGTGTTTACTGTAAATTATAATCCTTTCTGACCTTCCCTCTTCATCTCACACCTGTACATTCGTAACACATTTGGGACCAGTCATAGAACTATTGCAAGGTTACTGTAGTGAAGTGTCTGACCTTTAATCAATGGCACCGTTGCTCTTTACAGAGCATGGTGTATGCACCGATGAGTTCTCTGAGGGCTGCTGAGTCCAGTGAGCAAGTCACAGTCTCATCCACAGGTAAGGCACACCCACGTATTAGCAATGCTCTGAATCCGAGCAGCAGATTCCTTCCTCCTCTGACGCCAGTCATCACAAAGATTGATCCAGTTCTCCTTGCAATGCCTTGCTCCATCAACAAGCCGACTCTGTCAACCAGAGTGGCATTCTGCACTCCTTTCCCAGTCATTCAAAGAGATTCCAAGGATACTAAGTCATCTTTGCAAACATCCCAAAATCTGCAGTGGTCTACTTCTCTTTCTAGACCCTTTGTGACCCTTCGCTCTTTGGGATCCTGTAATCTGGCATTCACTTGACATGTCCAAGTCTTTTCTACTGATCAACATTCCCATGAATGACATACCAGCACGATTTAACACTTCCACATTTATCACCCTGTCTTGGCTTTTTAATGTGCATGTGTTTGTTTAATGCTTCTGACTTTTATATTTGGGCCAGATTTAGTTCCAAGTTACATAAAATTAATTTAGGTGTAATTCCACTTAAATCAATGGAGTTCAATTGATATACATTGCTGTAACTGAGAGTAAGATCTGGTCTATTATTCTTTGTTCTTTTGATATTAACAATGTTGTATATAACTACAACCCTCTCATAACATTATTGGGATGCCACATAGAAATAAATATTAGAGCATAAGTTGATCTGGTATCAGATCATGCTGTGTTTAAACAGATATATAAGCAGACCAGGTTGCACATTTAGGCCCATAAAGAATCACAACTGAAAAAAATGGGATGGGGGCAGCAGAAATCATTATACTAATCCCAAGCAAAACACCTTGTTAAGAATGGAATTCCACCCTGGGAGGCATTTGAAAATTCTTATTTGATACTCACGCCAGAATGCCTGAGATGTAGAGGGTTTCAGCAGACAAATATGACAAATAGCTGAACATGAAGACAAGCAGTGGTTCGATGGCAGAAATGTTCTGTGTAAATCGAGTCATGAATGCCGAAACAAATCCAAACACGATGCCAAACAGCACTCCGCCTAGTCCTACTACAAAGAAACGAGCAAATCCAGCAAGAACATCAACAGGTTCAATCTCTTCGTATCGGTGCATCTGGGTGAAGGCGATGAATATGTTATATAACACCTGTATGCAAAAATAATGGACAGCAAATTAGAAAACTTTCAAAACTAGATTTTCTCAATATTTTAGTGGTATGTGCCACACTGTATTATACTCATATTGCTTAGCAAAATTGTAGTTTAAATCTGAACATATCCTTAAGAGGCCCCAGAATTATCTACCTGGCTGGGATCCTAAAACTAGTGAAGAAATGGTACAAAATGCCAGTCAATGTGTCATATTCATCATGTTAAAACAGTAAGACAGTTAGGCTGGGACACCCCATGTGTGTGATATATGGAATGTATGATGTTTTCAGAAAGTACATGATGCCTCAGACACCATAAACTATGTAGCAAAGAAAGTGCTCAGAAGCACCGTGATGGGTGAAAATGTAAGAACTTAAGAATCAAATCGAATCGAATAGAACAGAAGCTAAGCAACTCCAGCTTCATACTGGTGATAGATAAACACTCAACTCATGGTTCAATATGCAATTGTTGTTATTAAATATACTAGAACTCTTATAGAACCAATTTTTATTACCTTACCTTAATAATATAGTAATTACAGTCTGTTGTGTGAAGGCTATTGATAAATTTGTACAGTGGATTTGTAAAAATGTCAAAAGGACACTGTCAAGGCACTTTTCAAAAGTTTGAAAATACTTTTTTTTATTCACTTATACTGGCCTCTTGGAGCTCGCTGGAAATTGAAATCTATTCCACTACTGTTACATCATTTTTATATTACAGATAACTAAAGCAACAGCAGCTGCAGTACAAGCTTCCCAACACTGCTACTGGTGAAAGGGTTATTCAGTCTCCAGGCCCATTCATTCTTCAACCTCTCTTTTGAAATTATCGCAGGGATTCCAGTTGTGTCAAGAACAATCATCCTCTTGGAACTGGATTGAAGCCATCAACTCCGCTGAACCATCCAATTCCCTATATATCGTACGTTAATGACATAGCAGTCATTCTCAAGGTAGGCACTACAAACCTATTAGTGATTTTACCTTTTTAAGGGTATAAATAGCTAATTAAATTATTTATTTTGGTTAAGGAGCTTGAAATACTGAAAAAAACGTTGTGAGGTTAGGTTGTAGATTATTCTCAGCACATTACACACTTGGTCTGTAGGGTTGATTTTGATTAACTATAGGTCAGATGCTTAATTATCATGCTTTTGTTATGAATAATTTCTATTCTGAAAAATGCATGATAAAATCTCCTTTGGGATTTTCCATTTTCATTCACTTAACAAATGGCAACTGAAGTGTTCAGCAGGGCAGCATGAGGGTATTGATTAAAAATATGTAAGACTTTTTGACTACTAGCTGACGATAAATCCTATTGTACCTGTTATCAATAAATATCAGTCATACCAGATTCATTTCCAGGTTTTAAAACTCAGTTTGGAAAAGTCTAAAGTCACAAATTAGCCACAATTTTTGCTACTGATAGCATTAGTCCCTAACACTGTCCTGTTTAAAACAAGCCAAAAAGTCTTCACATATCTGGTGTTCTTTAGTTTTTTTCTTTGCCTAACAAATTTCAGAAGGCTAGTTAATGAGATTAAAGGAGATATTTGCTGGTCAAAGGCTCCAACTCATTAAAGATGATAATTATTCCTCAGATATTATCTAGCTCTAATTGCTTCCTGGGAACATTTAACCTTGTGCTGTCATACAGTAGATTCTCAGGGATACTCATTGTTACTAGGTGACAGGAAACACACAATAAAATGTTCTAGATGGCAGCTTCCTACAAATAAGGGTGATCCACTTTTCCAAACTGCAAAGTGTGGAACTGTGCTTCTCAGTAGCAGACCATTGAAGACTGGATACGAGTACATATGCATAGTTACTATACAGTACTTGAGTCACCGCAGTAGTTCTCTATGGGGCCGGCTCTAACTTTTTTGCTGCCCCAAGCAGCAAAAAAAAGCGCCGCCCCGCCGAGCCCCCCCACCCCGCCAAGCGCCGCCGGACCCCCCGCCGAGCGCCGCGCCACCAGAACCCCCCCGAGC